TCACTCCTCCTGGAGCAACCGCCCGTGCGCGAACCTCGCACCGCATTGACGCGGTACTCACGCCGCCCTCCTGGGCTCTTGCCTTAGAGCACCAGAGCAAGGCAGCGGCAGCCAGCAATAGATTCGCAACCTTCCTCGTCCATCCGTCTTCCCTCCATCCGCCTCCCTCCTCCGGCCATCCCTCCCCCCCCCCTACTCCTTCCCCCCTCTCTCCATCCCTTCCTCCCTCCCTCCTTCCCTCCCTCTGTCCTTCCCCAGCCCCCTCCCTCATCCCCTAATCCATCCATCTCCCCTCCCTCCTTCATCCCTCCCGGCCGAAAACTGTATACATGTATAGCTCCAGATCGACAGATTACCCGAGACGTGCCCAACCCATCTTGATCAAATGATGATAGCAGTGGGCCTGCTGCATGCGAATGGCACCCTGCCCGAAGACGCAATGTGTTATGAAAGCTACATGGAGGACTTATGCAATCCACGAAAAACAGGGAATGCATCGCCTCCTCCTCCTCTGCCTCCTACTTCCCCTTCCTCCTCCTCCTCCTCCTCCTCCTCCTCCTCCTCCTCCTCCTCCTCCTCCTCCAACCCCTCCACCTCCTCCTCCTCCTCCTCCTCCTCCTCCTCCTCCTCCTCCTCCTCCTCCTCTCTTCCTCCTCCTCCTCCTCCTCCTCCTCCTCCTCCTCCTCTTCCTCCTCCTCCTCCTCCTCCTCCTCCTCATCCTCCTCATCCTCCTCCTCCAAGGGAAAAATTTCCAGAAATCTGGAAATCGTGGACGAAGGAGGAAAAAGAGTACACATGATGACTTCTGCGGGTCCCATGGGCCACTGAAGTGGCTCCTCCATCGCGACGCAGGGGGGGGAGTTGGAGTATCCTTTGGGGCGCGATGAATATCAAGGGGCGCCGACGTTATAGGGGCGCCCAGCACGATATGTGTGAGAGGTGTGCCACAATGGGCGCGCGGACGCTATAGGAACGTCCCCGAAAAGGAGCTCTCGACGGGGCGCGGCCCGTGCGAAATGGGAACGCGAGCTGTATAGAACGCCCCCACAAGCCAGGCCATTCGGAAAGGGCCCTGCGCTCGCAGCGGAGGGTCTCTCAACAACGAAGCCAAGGCAGGCAGGGGCGCGGACAGACCCCCGCGCGCCCCGAACGACCCCTGCAGGCCGCGACAGCCTGAACGAACCGCGACGTTCGCAAGAGACCCTGCGGCTGCTTACGAAGCTAACCGGGTGGCGCCCGCCACCCCAGAGGCCGAGCCTGGCGGGGGGGGGGCGCGGGGAAATCCCCTCGCGCCCCGAACGGCACCGGCAGGTCGTGATGGGCCGAGGGACCTATGCCACTCGGAAGGGGCCCTGCGTTCGCAGCCGAAGGGCACTGGGCAGAGTCCACCACCGTCGGGGCAGACCGAGGCAGGGACGCGGTCGGATCCCCGCGCGCCCCGAGCCAACGCGGTAGGTCGCGAAGCCTCAAACGAACCGCGGTGCTCGCAGGAGGCCCTCCGCCTGCAGCAAAGGCTGGCTGGGCGACGCCCGCCACCCCCGAGGGATGGGCCGAAAGAGCCAAACCACTCGGAGGGGCCCTGGCATGGGCGGACGGGGATGGGCACCCGCCCACCCGGAACGACCGCGAAATGTCGCGAAGGCTCCAAGGCGCGGCACTGCTAGCAGCTGGCTCATCTGGAAGCGGGGGCGGGGCCCACAGGAGCGGGAACATAGCGTATCCCGGAAATGTGGCCCACCGCAGACTCGCTTCACCAAGCAGCGGCGAGGCCCTGGCCCCCTGCTCGATGTCGTTAGGAGAGAGCGGCAGCCCATCAGCGGCGGCAGCTGGTCGCGAGATGGCCGAAGGCGACACGCGTTTGCCCGCCTCCAACGCAGCGAGACCTGGAGGGGACCCACCTGCCTGACGAGCGGAGCAGGCAACGCGTAGGCGGAATCGACAGGCAACAACCCGCCAAACGCGCGCGGCGGGGCCGCACAGGCGTCAACACACAAGCCCGCGTCAGCGGACGAGTGCCCAGAAGTCGGGTCCTGACGCGGAACGCCCCACCAGGCAACAGTGACGAGCCACTGTGGAAGCACGAGGTTGGGAGCGGGAACGAGGGAAACGCGAGGAGAAACCTCCTCCTCCTCCTCCTCCTCCTCCTCCTCCTCCTCCTCCTCCTCCTCACCCAGGGAAATATCGTTCCGTGTTCTTCGAGATCCAACAGCATTGACTGTGGGATGTCTGCGAGCGCCGCCGGCTGTGTCGTCTCCGCAAGTCGCGCCGCCGGCGCTGTCCAGCTCCGACGCCCCGGCCTGTCTGCGAACGCGAGTGGCTGCGTCATCTCGGCGCGCCATTCCGCCAGAATCGCACAGTTAAGATGGTTCGGCCGGCACTGCGCCGCGGTGTTCAGATGCTCGTCCTCCTCCTCGTCCTCCACTGAGAGCTTCCAGCTCCGCCGCCCCATGAGCGAGGGGGCAGAAGGCAGGACAGGAAGGGAATAAGTTGTGCAATGGCGAGAGAGACGCAGGCGCCATCGGCCGCCAGACCTACTCTTTGGGGCACGGGCGCCAGCGCCGCTCGGACGAGCGGAGGGCCTCTGGTAGAGGACCGCAGAAACGCGGGGCGCGGGGGCAGCACCCAGCAAACGGGCAAGCCCGCCTGCCGTGCAGGGAGCAAGGGGTGACGGGCAGAGCCCGAAGAGCAGGGCTCGGAAAGCCAAGCTCTCAGGCAACCGCCGCCGCGGACGCGGCAACGATCGCCTGTGGCAGGGGGCGGGGCCCCCTGCTCAAAACCACCGTCCGCCAGGGGCGAACAGTCGATCCCACCGCAGGCTCAAGACGGTGTGCGACCCCCGCCCGAACCGGAACCCACGAGGCCACCGCGAACGAGTCCAGGAAGACCTGCGCGTCGCGGTCCGGACCGCAGCCCCCTGGCGCGCGCGGCGGAGTCGCGCGCCGACACGCTGGGGCCGAGAAGCTGCAGGGACCGCCGAGACACCACGAGGAGGAGAATAAGAGAGACATCCTCCTCCTCCTCCTCCTCCTCCTCCTCCTCCTCTCCTCCTCCTCCTCCTCATCATCATCATCATCATCATCATCATCATCATCATCATCATCATCATCATCATCATCATCATCATCATCATCATCATCATCATCATCATCATCATCATCATCATCATCATCATCATCATCATCGTTATCATCAGCATTAACAGCATCAGCATCAGCAGCAGCATCAGCAAGAGCATCATCATCATCACCATCATGCAGCAGCATCATCTGCATCAACATCAGCACCAGCATCAGCATCATCATCATCACAATCATCATCAGAGTTCATCATCATCATCGTCATCAACATCATCACCACCACCAGCATCATAATCATCATCATCATCATCATCATCATCATCATCATCATCATCATCATCATCATCATCATCATCATCATCATCATCATCACCATCACCGTCACCACCAGCAGCAGCAGCATCAGCATCAGCATCAGCATCATCGTCATCATAAGCATCAACATCATCAGAATCAGCATCAGCATCAGCATCAGCATCAGCATCAGCATCAGCATCAGCAGCATCAGCATCAGCATCAGCATCAGCATCATCATCATCATCATCATCATCATCATCATCATCATCATCATCATCATCATCATCATCATCATCATCATCATAAGCATCATCATCACCATCGTTATCATCAGCATCAACAGCATCATCATCAGCAGCAGCATCAGCAAGAGCATCATCATCATCATCATCGTCATCGTCATCCTCATCATCATCACCATCATGCAGCAGCATCATCTGCATCAACATCAGCACCAGCATCAGCATCATCATCACCACAATCATCATCAGAGTTCATCATCATCATCGTCATCAACATCATCACCACCACCACCAGCATCATTATCATCATCATCATCATCATCATCATCATCATCATCATCATCATCATCATCATCATCATCATCATCGTCATCATCATCATCATCATCATCATCATCATCATCATCATCACCCCCTGTATTATCCTCATCCTCACCCTCATCCTCATCTGTCCTGTTTATCATCCAACTCATGCTCCAGCATGCGTCACTGGCTCGGGGGTGCACTGGTATTTACATGGTTCAGGGACCCAGCCGAAGAACTGGTAGCAGGTCCCCCTGCCAAGACATGGCAAATCCCGAGTATCAGGGCCTGCTCTCCTCCTCCGTGCGCCGACAGGGCATGAGAGTTCGCAGTCGTTTGTGAATTTCGCAGGTGGACGGAACGAACTGGCCCAGTGAGGTAGCATTCCGCTCTCCTCCCGCCTCCTCCGCGATGTGGGTAGAATCCCGATGCCGCCAACCTTCGTCGCAGCTGGCAGCAGCAGTGCACCATGGAGTGCAGAACTCTTCGTCATACGTGCGGGTCCTCCTCCTCCGCCTCCCCCTCCTCCTCCTCCTCCTCCTCCTCCTCCTGCCCTCCGTCCCTCCCCTCTCCTTCCACGCCTTCTCTCGTTCCTCCCTTCCGCCCCCTCCCCCTACTACACGCAAGCGCACCTCTGACTCCGAGGGCGCCGAAAAATCATGATGTGAGGAGCCAGCCCCGGTAGACCGCCAAGGGCCGCTATCTCTGCGACTGCGCAACAGGCGGACCAGCGCCGATAGCAGAGAAGCGGTGGGTACAAGCCACCTTTTCGGGACGCCAGCTATCCATCCACGCAGGGCAGACCATCCTGGGCCCAGGATCGGCCTGGCCAGGGTCGGTGTAGGTGAATAGCAGGCGTCCCCCGACGATATCGGAGCCGCTGCGGATACTGGCCACCTTCGGGGGACGCCCACTATCCGCCCGCACCCACCCTGGGCAGGCCCATCCTTGGGCCTGCTCAGGGCCGGAAGCAGGTGGACAGTGGGCGTCCCTCGACAATAGCAGAGGCGCTGTGGATGCTGGCCTCGACAACTGCAGCGCCGACCGTCGTCAGACCCTGCCGCCGCGGGGGCCGAGCGCGTCACTTCAGGAAGAACCCGTACGAGTGCAGGCCGACACCCATGAGGTTCACGCCGACGTAGCACAGCCACACGACGAAGAACCCAAAAGCGCCGATCTTCGCAGAGTCACGGGTGTCCCAGCCGAGCTGGAGGCGCACGTGCAGGTAGGCCGCGTAGACCAGCCACGCGATGAGGGCCCAGGTCTCCTTGGGATCCCAGCTCCAGTAGTTGCCCCACGCCTCGTTCGCCCAGACTGCGCCGGAGATGATGCCTATGGTTAAGAAGCCGAAGCCCAGGAGCAAGGACCTGTACGCCAGGTCGTCGAGGGTGAGGGCGAGCTTGTCGTCCTCCGTGAGCTGCTCGGCGGGCGCGGCGGCCGTGGAGCTGAACTCCACGGTGACGGCGCCGCCTGCGTTGCCCGCGACCTGGAACTGCTGCGCTGGCGCACCTGACGCAGACCGTGTGGCAGTATTGCCCGCATTGAAATCCAGGGTAGTGGTCATCGCCGACACGGCCATCTCGGGCACCCGTGGCGAGGTCGCCACCGCAGGCTGCTCAGGGGATAAGCCGCCTGCGACGCTCCTCAGCGCCGGAACCACTGCGTCTCGCAGGGCCTTGATGGGGCTGTCCTTGGGCTGGCTAAGCGCGAGCACTGCCATGCAGAGCACGGAGCCGAACATCAGAGTGGCGTAAGAGAACATCACCACAGAAACGTGCATCACAAGCCAGTTCGACTGCAGCGCCGGGACAAGCGCCGACGCCTTCTGAAGCTCCTTGGGAAGGGACAGCGTGGCGAACGCAACGATGCCCCACGCCACTGGTGAGCACCAAACCGCCGCGATGTCGGCGGTCATGGCCTGGCTCTCCGCCCTCTCTGCGGTGGCGCCGGCGTTGATGCCCTTCGGCCCCTCGGATACCGCGAAGTAGACGGTGATCGCGGTCACGCCCCAGGCGAGGAACATCAGGGACTCGTACATGTTGCTGAGCGGGAAGTGGCCGATGTCGTACCAGCGCGTGGACAGCAGCCCCACCAGGGACAGGCATGAGAAGCTGAGGCCCCAGAAGGGCAGCGGCCGGCCGCCGATCTGCTGCTCCTCGGCACGGCCGCTGCCAAGCGTACTCTTCCACCACGCCGCCATGGTGCTGAAGGCGAGCCCGAAGAAGGCGCCCTTCTCGAACAGGGCCTCGAGGGTGCTGGCGTCCATGGTGCCCTCCGCGCCGTGCGCCAGCGCCGAGTCGACGCCGCCCGACGCCAGCGCGGCGTCGCCCGCGGCGCCCAGCCCCAGAAGCACCGCCGCGGACAGGGCCGCAGCCGCGTCGTCACTCTTGGGCGGCGCCGCCGCCGCACGGCGGCCGCGCGCTGGCGCAGGCACGAAGGCCACGCGGTGCAGGGCGCCGAGGGCCCCGAGGAGCAGCGCCAGGGGCAGCGGCCTCTGAGGGGACACCCGCCACAACCGCTGACCTGGCCCACCGGGGCCGCCCAGAGACTTCGCGCGGCGCGCGAGAAGCGCGGCTCTCTTCGACGCTCTCGTCCGTCCTTAGAAGTGGCGCACCACGTACATCACCTTGTTTGTTTGACAACAGGAAGCGCCATCCAAAAATCAGAGTGAGGGGTCTGAACCGAACGGTCATTGGCTCCCTGGGTGCGTGGCTGAAGTGGAATTCCGCGATGCGGATTATCGTTGTTGTTGTTGTTGTTGCTGTTGTTGTTGTTGTTGCTGTTGCTGGTGTTGTTGTTGTTGTTGTTGCTGTTGCTGGTGCTGGTGCTGTTGTTGTTGTTGATATTGTTTGTTGTTGTTGTTGGTGGTGGTGTTGTTGTTGGTGCTGCTGCTGCTGCTGTTGTTGTTGTTGTTGTTGTTGTCGTTGTGATTGTTGTTGTTGTTGTTGCTGTTGTTGTTGAGGGTGTTGTTGTTGTTGTTCGTGTTGTTGTTGGTATTGTTGTTATCGTTGCTATTGTTGTCCTTGTTGTTCTTGTTGTTGAAACCTCATTTCTGAAGAATACTTATTGTTTATCCCCACCACCACCAGTGCATACTGTTTTTTCTCAATTAAAGTGTGCCCCTCGACGCTCGCACCCTGTTTTTTGACAGGGAAAATCTTCTTGGTCAAACTGGCCCCCTGGGCCCTGGGTTACAACAACAACGGCTTCCACCTGAGACCTCCTTACAATTTAGCCAGGACCCCCGCTCCCGCCCGAGACCTCCTCGCATTTTATTCCGGACTCGCGCTCTCGCTTGGGACTTCCTTACAATTTATTCAAGAATCGCTCTCCCGGCGTTCTGGAGTCGCGCTCTCGCTGGAGACTTGCCTGCAAATTACTGAAGAATGGCCTTGCGTTGGATTTTTTCCCATTTGCCCAAGCGCCGCGCCCCCGACACCCAGGCACCCAGGAGTCGCGCCCATTGTGGCCCCATGTGCATGCCCTTCGTGGCCCCGCTGTCGCAATGTGTGTCCCCCTCACTGTCCTACGTGGCCCAGTTGCTACCTTCAGTGGCCCCATAGTTGCCTTCTGTGGCCCCGCATTATCTACACTTCGTGGCCCCCGATCGTTCGCGCTCACGCATTCCCTTCGTGTCCCCGCTGTCGCCCTTCGTGGCCTACTTCGTGCCCTTCGTGGCCCTGCTGTCGTTCTCTCTCGCTCTCGCTTTCGCTCGTCGTCGCTGTCGTCGTCGTCGTCGTCGTCGCCGTCGTCTTCGACGTCGTCGTCGTCGTCGTCGTCGTCGTCGTGGTCGGTCCCCTGTCCGTCCCTCTTCGGGTCGGGTCGACGGTCCGCGGCCGCCGCGCCGATCAGCGATGCCGCTGGCCACGCCGACGGTCCGCGGCCGCCCCGCCGCTTGCCGGGGCCCGGCCTGCAAGGAAGAAAGGTATACCCCCCAAAAAGGGTTCGATCGAAGACGAAGGGGGCGGGTATCGAGGGTTTGGGAAATACGCGTGATTGGACACTCGAGCATATAAGGGCGAACGGTCATACAATTATTGTTGTTGTTGTTGATGTTGTTGTTGTTGTTGTTTGTTGTTTGCTGTTTGCTGTTTAATGTTTGTTGTTGTTGCTGTTGGTGTTGGTGTTGTTGTTGTTGCTGTTGATGCTGGTGGTGGTGATGTTGTTGGTGTTGCTGTTGTTGTTGGTGGTGGTGTTGGTGTTGTTGTTGTTGTTGTTGATCCCCCCACCGGTACATATTGTTTTTCTCAATTAAAGTGTGCCCCTCGACGCTCGCACCCTGTCTTTTGACAGGGACAGTCTTCCTGCTCAAACTGGGCCCTCGGCCCCTGGGTTGCAGCAACAACGGCTCCCGCTCGAGATTTCCTGACAATTTAGCCAGGACCCCCGCTCCCGCCCAAGACTTCCTCGCATTTTATTCGGGAATCGCGCTATCGCTTCGGACTTCCTTACAATTTATTCAGGAATCGCTCTCCCGGCGCTCTGGAGTCGCGCTCTCGCTGGAGACTTGCCTGCAAATTACTGATGAATGGCCTTGCGTTGGAATTTCCTACAATTTGCCCAAGCGCCGCGCTCCCGACACCCAGGCACCCAGGAGTCGCGCCCGCTGTGGCCCCATGTGCATGCCCTTCGTGGCCCCGCTGTCGCCATGTGTGTCCCCCGCACTGTCCTACGTGGCGCAGTTGCTACCCTCAGTGGCCCCATTGTTGCCTTCTGTGGCCCCGCATTATCTGCACTTCGTGGCCCCCGCTCGTTCGCGCTCTTCGTGGCCCCATACGCATTTTCTTCGTGTCCCCGCTGTCGCCCTTCGTGGCCTACTTCGTGCCCTTCGTGGCCCTGCTGTCGTTCTCTCTCGCTCTCGTTTTCGCTCGTCGTCGCCGTCGTCGTCGTCGTCGCCGTCGCCTTCGACGTCGTCGTCGTCGTCGTGGTCGGTCCCCTGTCCGTCCCTCTTGGGGTCGGGTATACGGTCCGCGGCCGCCGCGCCGATCAGCGCTGCCGCTGGCCAGGCCGACGGTCCGCGGCCGCCCCGCCGCTTGCCGGGGCCAGGCCTGCAGGGAAGAAAAGTATACCCCCCAAAAGGGGATCGATCGAAGACGAAGAGGGCGGGTATCGAGGCTTTGGGAAATACGCGTTATTGGACAATCGAGCATATAATGGCGAACAGTCTTAAACTTATTGTTGTTGTCGTTGTTGTTGTTATTGTTGTTGTTGTTTTTTGTTTGTTGTTGTTGGATTCTCATTTCTGAAGAATAATTATTGTTGATCCCCCCCACCGGTGCATATTGTTTTTCTCAATTAAAGTGTGCCCCTCGACGCTCGCACCCTGTCTTTTGACAGGGACAGTCTTCCTGCTCAAACTGGGCCCCTGGCCCCTGGGTTACAGCAACAACGGCTCCCGCTCGAGATCTCCTTACAATTTAGCCAGGACCCCCGCTCCCGCCCGAGACTTCCTCGCATTTCATTCAGGACTCGCGCTCTCGCTCGGGACTTCCTTACAATTTATTCAAGAATCGCTCTCCCGGCGCTCTGGAGTTGCGCTCTCGCTGGAGACTTGCTTGCAACTTACTGAAGAATGGCCTTGCGTTGGAATTTCTTACAATTTGCCCAAGCGCCGCGATCCCGACACCCAGGCACCCAGGAGTCGCGCCCGCTGTGGCCCCATGTGCATGCCCCTCGCGGCCCCGCTGTCGCCATTTGTGACCCCCTGATTGTCCTACGTGGCGCAGTTACTACCCTCAGTGGCCCCATTGTTGCCTTCTGTGGCCCCGCATTATCTGCACTTCGTGGCCCCCGCTCGTTCGCACTCTTCGTGGCCCCATACGCATTCCTTTCGTGTCCCCGCTGTCGCCCTTCGTGGCCTACTTCGTGCCCTTCGTGGCCCTGCTGTCGTTCTCTCTCGCTCTCGCTTTCGCTCGTCGTCGCCGTCGCCGCCGTCGTCTTCGACGTCGTCGTCGTCGTCGTCGTCATCGTAGTCGTCGTCGTCGTCGTCGTCGTCGTCGTCGTCGTGGTCGGTCCCCTGTCCGTCCCTCTTGGGGTCGGGTATACGGTCCGCGGCCGCCGCGCCAATCAGCGCTGCCGCTGGCCAGGCCGACGGTCCGCGGCCGCCCCGCCGCTTGCCGGGGCCCGGCCTGCAGGGAAGAAAGGTATACCCCCCAAAAGGGGATCGATCGAAGACGAAGAGGGCGGGTATCGAGGGTTTGGGAAATACGCGTTATTGGACACTCGAGCATATAATGGCGAACAGTCTTAAACTTATTGTTGTTGTTATTGCTGTTGTTGTTGTTGATGATGTTGTTGTTGAATTCTCCTTTCTGGGGAATAATGATTGTTGCTCCCCCCCCCGGTGCATACAAATATTTTCTCAATTAAAATGTGCCCCTCGACGCTCGCACCCTTTTTTTGACACGGAAAGTCTTCCTGCTCAAACTGGCCCCCTGGCCCCCGGGTTACGACAACAACGGCTCCCGCTCGAGATTTCCTTACAATTTAGCCAGGACCCCCGCTCCCGCCCGAGACTTCCTCGCATTTTATTCAGGACTCGTGCTCTCGCTTGGGACTTCCTTACAATTTATTCAAGAATCGTTCTCCCGGCGCTCTGGAGTCGCGCTCTCGCTGGAGACTTGCCTGCAAATTACTGATGACTGGCCTTGCGTTGGAATTTCTTACAATTTGCCCAAGCGCCGCGCTCCCGACACCCAGGCACCCAGGAGTCGCGCCCGCTGTGGCCCCATGTGCATGCCCTTCGCGGCCCCGCTGTCGCTATTTGTGCCCCCTCTTCACTGTCCTACGTGGCCCAATTGCTACCCTCAGTGGCCCCATTGTTGTTTTCTGTGGCTCCGCTTTATCTGCACTTCGTGGCCCCCGCTCGTTCGCGCTCTTCGTGGCCCCATACGCATTCCCTTCGTGTCCCCGCTGTCGCCCTTCGTGGCCTACTTCGTGCCCTTCGTGGCCCTGCTGTCGTTCTCTCTCGCTTTCGCTTTCGCTCGTCGTCGCCGTCGTCGTCGTCGTCGTCGCCGTCGTCTTCGACGTCGTAGTCGTCGTCGTCGTCGTCGTCGTCGTCGTCGTCGTCGTCGTCGTCGTCGTCGTCGTCGTCGTCGTCGTCGTCGTCGTGGTCGGTCCCCTGTCCGTCCCTCTTGGGGTCGGGCCGACGGTCCGCGGCCGCCCCGCCGCTTGCCGGGGCCAGGCCTGCAGGGAAGAAAGGTGTACCCCGCAAACAGGGGTTCGATCGAAGACGAAGAGGGCGGGTATCGAGGGTTTGGGAAATACGCGTTATTGGAAACTAGAGCATATAAGGGCGAACAGTCTTAAAATTATGTTGCTGTTGTTATTGTTGGTGTGGTTGTTTTTGGTTTGTTGTTGTTTGTTGTTTGTTGTTGGTTGTTTGTTGATTGTTGATTGTTGGTTGTTGTTTGTTGTTTGTTGTTTGTTGTCGTCGTCCCACCCGCGACCCGCCCCGCGGCCCAGCCGCGACCCATCCCGCGACCCACCCGCGACCCACCCGCGACCCACCCCGCGACCCACCAACGACCCACCCCGCGACCCAATCGCGACCCACCCGCGACCCACCCGCGACCCACCCCGCGACCCGCCCGCGACCCCCCCGGCGACCCACCCAGCAACCCATCCGCGAGACCCACCCGCGACCCACCCGCGACCCACCGCGCGCACCCCGCGACCCGCCCAAAATTTTTGGCGCCTGCGGTGGTTTTTTGTTTGCATTCGTTCCAGGTGGAGAACCTGCGACCCAAACCGCGTTCAGTGTACAAATCAAAATGTTCGGCGCCTGCGGCGGCCTGTTTTCGAATTCCTTCCAAGTGGAGGTGGAGAGCCCGCGACCCACCCGCGACACAAACTATGTTCACTGAACAAGCCAAAAATTCGGCGCCTGCGACGGGCTGTTTTTGCATTCGTTCCGGGTGGCCCACCAGCGATCCCCCCCGCGCTGAATTTGTCAGAGCACGCAAATCGGCGCCTGCGGCGGGCTTGCTCGCATCAGTTCTCGAGGAGGACGACGAGACGGAAAGGAGGGGGGAGGATCGGGATGGGGGAGGAAGAGGAGGAGGGGGAGGAGAAGGAAAAGGAAAAGGAGGAAGAGGAGGAGGAGGTGGAGGAGGAGGAGGAGGCGGACGACGACGACGACGACGATGAGGACGAGGACGCGGACGAGGAAAAAGGAGGAGGAGGAGGGCGCCATCGACAAGGAAGGTGAGGGCCACGAGGCCCGCCGGCTCCACGCCCGCGATGCCCGCGCCCGCCCCCCTCACTCTTACCCGCAACTGCGGGGTGCTAGGTATATGTGACAGTTGCAGAGATTTTGACTTCAGATCGCAAAGGTGGAGAATCACGAGCGACGCTCGCACCTTCAGAACGAACCGCCTCTTCTCTTGGCGGCGGGCCGAACAAATGTAGACGCCTGCGCGCGGCTCTGAGGCGAGGGCCACGTGTTGAGATCGGCTAGCCGTGCCTGCCTGTGACTGCTGGATGGTGCTTGAGACGAACGTGCGCGGGCCCCCGTGAAGGGGGGGCGCCTCTCCGGCCCAGGTGGCGAGGCGCGAGGCGCAGTCGCCTTCGCGCCCTGCCCGCATCCAAACCTTCGATGCCGCGATTTGGTTACAGCGCGGCTTCCCGGAAGTCATTCTCCCCCGGACCGGCTTTTTCTGAAGGGGCCCCGGGACACACAGATACATACGCACAATTCACAGGATCTCCCATATTTTCTCGTAGTTTCTGGGTTTCTGTCTTCCCCCCCACTTCCCACATTTTCAAAGATTTTCTGAGGAATCGACGATTCATTGTGTCGGTGTGTTTTTCCCCTCCTGATTCTCATGCTGGGTCGTTCTTGGCGGCCCAGGGCCCTGGAGGCCGAGCGCGGCCGAACGCCCCACGTCGTGCTCGTCCAGCGACGCTGACGAGGTCTGTGGAGACCCCTCCCCCCTGCCCCTCTAAAACGACGCGAAGATCGGGACAAAATCGGATCGGGATAACTCGAACTCTCTGAGAATCGGCGGGCTTGGAGGATGTATTGGGCGCCGCGGCCGCTCCAGAGCGTTCCGGAACGCTCTGAGAGCGCTCCAGAACGCTCTGGAGCGATTTATCCCGATCCTAGCCCTGTGGGGCGTAAGACCCGGGTACAGGGGACGCGGAAATCCCCGACGAGGTCGTCAAGAAAATGACGAGGCCGAGCCTGCATTTTGACGAGGCCTCCCGCTGCAGACACCCCACCAAACTCCTACTGGTCAAAATCCGAGTCGCGGTCGTCAAAAAACGATGACGAACCCGAGTCCTGGCAAACCCGTGTCTTACGCTCCCCCGATCCCAGAGAAGGCGCGGGAGGAACAGAAGCACGCAGGGGGCTGACGGGGTGCCGGTTTCAGGCGTTGCCAGAGGTGCCCCTGGCCCAAGGTGCCCCCAGAATCTTCACGTAGGCCCTGACAACCTCCAGAGCGCGAGAGCCCGAATGGGTCCCAGGATAGCCCGAGAAGCCGCGGACACCTCGGGACGGGGCCGCCCTTGGCAACCCCCGACAGCTGGGCGCAGCGCAGGCCCCTGGGCCTCAGCCGGCAGCGACGACCTGCCGCCGTCCTCATCGGCATCGGAAGCTGCGACGCGGGCCGCGACAGGCAGCGGCGGGGCGACGAGGAGCTGCCGTGCTCTCGGGCCAGAGCAGTCAGGGAGGGCAAGAGGAGGACGACGACGCGGAAAGCGGATCTTGGAGAACGGAAGACGGAGGAGGAACTGGGAGGGGAAGGAGGAAATTGGAGGAGGAGGAGGAGGAGGAGGAGGAGGAGGAGGAGGAGGAGGAGGAGGAGGAGGAGGAAGAGGAGGAGGAGGAGGAGGAGGCGGACAATGTGAAGGAGGACGGCGGAGTCACACTGCAGGAGGAGAATGCTGACAAGGAGAAGAGGGAGGAGAGGGAGAAAAAGGGAGAGATAAAGACACACACAAAGACACAGACACAGACACAGAGACACACACACACACAAACAAACAAACAAACAAACAAACAAACAATCATGTGCATATAGATATGTGTGTATGCAAGACCGTATTGGTGCGGTGGCGGAAAATGGCGATGTATATATATATATATATATATATATATATATATATATATAGCAAGCATAGCGGTAGCTGGTAGGTCGCGGTGGCCGCGTGCGCCCTGCACACTTGCCCATGACAAACAATCGGATGCCATGAGAATGAACGTCATACAAAACAACGCAACGGCAAGCAATGTCGCGTAATACGAAGTAGCGACAATGAAAGGATGCCATTGCCACGTAGTCAGCGAGTGGCAACGTTCAGCCGAGCATCGCTCAGAAGCTCAGAAACGACAGCGGGTCGCAAAAGGGCGCGCAGAATAACGGCATTATTGGGACATGCGCCAAGTCACGGGTTCGCGACGCATTTCTTGGGAATGTTGCTGCGAACACGGGGTTCGGGTCAGTGAAAATTCTGAAGAAAACGCCTTTTGTCCTAGACCGGCGCACCCACGGCGAAGCCATGTTCGCGCTGGTCCTCGACAAGACCTGCTGCCGAAGGTTTTCTGCACCTTTCTGCGCTTTCGCAATATGAGACAATAGTAAGCTCGGCCACTCCCACACGCCATGCTTTGCAAAACCGAACCCGGTCAGCAGGACTGCGAAAGCAACCGCCACTTATGATCACCTCAGCACCCTTGTCAAATTGACCCTACGCTTTGCAGCATCCCAATCCTGTCCTCCTTCTGCAGACCATCTACATCTGTCGGCGCATGGACCGCGGCGACTCGGGACCTGACGCCCACCCATTGCACGACGCATTGCGGGGGGGGCAGGGGCGGCGCCAGTGGGCATCTTCCTGGCCACTTTTGGCGGCGGAAGGCACAGCGCAGCGGTTCACTCGCCGCGCTCAACAATTTCCCGTTCGCCGGCCCGACACTCGCGCCCCAGGTACCGCCAAGCAGGAGCCGGCGGATATAACTCGACCCCCTTGGGAACACTGTTCGACGCCGTTCGGGAGAGTTCCCAGCCCTCTTTCCCTGCGCGCAGGGGTCTAGCACGCTTGAAAAGAGGCAACATACATGATCGGTAGCAAGGTGCGCCCAGGATGGAAATAACCATTTATCCAACGGGGGGGCGCCGCAAATCCTTTCGCAGCAACCTGCGATTCACAGCGTTTTTTCCCAATAGCTACCAGCATCAGGGTGGCCGCACAGAGGCGCAATCAGAGGGCTGACTGAGCCACGCATGTCCGCCCAACTCTCGGGCCAAGCTCCCCTTAGCAATCGCGCCCTACCTGGCTTTCCACCCATCGCTCCCTGGACGCAAGCTTGCTCGGCATCTTCCCGCCCCATCCCGCGCCCGAAAAGGAACCCCAAAGTGCCCGCGGCTGCGCCGGCGCTCAAAGCGCCCAGGCTGCTCGAGCAATCCTGGAACGAGGTAGCCTGACGTCTGACCCGTCAAAGACCAATAGACCTTTGAACTTCCTATCGGTGCTGTCTTGAGGCAGTTCGGAAGTCTCTTTACTGGGATTAAGAATTGTCGTCCCACGTAGATTGTTTGACCCTTCCTTCGCTTCTCTCAGGACGTCAGACCACTCCATGACGGCTGCTTCACCCGATGCTTCGGAACCTCAGTCCTCCTCGCTTTCCAGGTCGCTTCCCGCTTGCCCACGGATCTTGCCAACGCTGCCGATGGCCTGGAGCGGCGAGCCATCTCGGCGGGCAACGAGAGTGGGCCACTGCACTCGCGCACAAGGTCAAGGAACGGGCGCCAACAGAGTCTCCATCCAAAACCCCAGATCGTTTTTTTCGCAAGTAGCTTGGCACGCACCTTCTCCCCAGAGCGAGAGGCGAGGCACCCTCCCCTTGAAAGTACCGACCGACCAGATCCACATTGGACGTCTCGCCCCCCCCCACCACTTCGCGGCTTGTGTAGCCCCAGATGAACATCGGCAGTATCACCCGCAGCGGCATCGCGAGGCACGTCGCTAGACGAGAGGCCGTCGTCTGTCTCCGACCAGGAGCCGGGCGACGCGGATACCGAGATGCCGGCGATGCCAACGCAGGCAGGGGCCGCCCCTTCCACGAACAGTCCCTCTGGAGCGTCAACGCCCATATCCTCTGGCAACTCAATCCCAGGCCCAGGGTCATTTAGTCCGAAGAATCAATGTTTCTCGGTTCTTCACTGATGTATGTCCTGCCGTCGCACCTGCTTGGTCAAGAAGTCAAGCCACCTCGATGGGCGAGTTCCAGAATGATCGAATGTTGGCAATTATATTTCGCAGCCGCGCTCCGCAATGCTCCAGATCCTCTGCCCACGCCCGCCTGGATTTCAAGTTGTCTGGGTCGCAGTATACCACGGTCCACAAGTGGCAGGCTTTCTCTAGCACTGCCACAGGAACGGTTTCTCTTACTCTTCTTTCGACAATCCGACCGCAGTCAAATCTTCTTCAACATACTCGGCATTGTCCAACGCTTGCGTCGCCCTCGCCTGCGCCAGTCGGGCTTGGGCCATTCCTTTCCCGGGGCGATCGCGACAAGCCTTCTTCGGGGCAAGATTACCTCCTCCCTGGCGGCCCCCGTCGGCCCAGGAGGAGCCGCCCTTCCCCGGCCCGCCCGTGGAGCCCAGGCGGCGGTGGAAGGCTCGACGGCCCCTCTGCGTCGGACGGGCATTTTTCGCCCTCGTTACCCCCGTCGCCAGCTCCTCCGCGACCACTGCCAGGCGGCGCTGGAGGAAGGACGTCTCAAATGGTCGGAGACTCCCCGGGCACCAGGCGGGGGGGGGGGGGCACATCCGAGGGTCGCAGAATTTATCTCAGCCCTCTCCTCACCATAGGCGTCAAGCAGCGGGAATGTGAACGACCTGTCCTCAGTCGCTGCGTCGAATGTGTCACGCCATATCTGACCCGACTTCTCGACTGCTGGTCGTTTGCTGCCAGTTTCTCAGCGGGCCCGTTCTCGCGTTCATTCCCTCCAATTGAAAGAGAAGCATATAGAGGCCCTCCGGTCCGATTCCACCCCCGCGCGACGCGCGCGACCGTTGTCAACGCACCCCGAAGATCCAGGGGGCAACTTCGGCGCCCCCACCCGCGACCCCGCAGGCGGGACGCACCTCTCGCGCGCCCCGAATGCGATCAGCAACTCGTCAAATTCCGCGCCAAACCTCGCTTTCCACAGAGAATTCTCAGATCCTTTGCTTACACCACGCACGCGCGGAGATGGGTGGCCGGCTGCCGCGAGCAGTGCCCCAGCCCCCGCTTGGGCGTTTCCGTTAGCTCGTCGGCGACCGCATTGTTCTTTTTGTTCCCTGGCAAAGCGGCGTCGCGCGCAATCTCCAAGTCGCGACGCACTGACGTCAACACAGGTACGCCATTAGTGCGCACGCAAACGCGCCCCCTGCCTGGAGCTTCATGTTCACCAGAAAGTCGATGACACAAGTGGCAGACTTGACGCGCGCGCCCGACGCGGCAAAAGATCCCTCGCGCCGGCCTCGGAATGCGATGCAGAAAGTCCCCGAGTAGAGACCCTTCGAATATTCGCCTGCTGCGAGCCAGCAATCCATCGTGCACTGGTCCCCAAAAATCATCTGGTTCAGCGCGCCGACGGGGTGCTCTTGCCCCCTTTGCATCATGATTTTCGTCGCGGCGATCGAAATACCTCGGCAGTTCCACCAGCCTCGCAGAAGGGGGCCTTAGGAGCATGAATGAGCAAACTATGAGGAGGCAACGCTCAGGGCAGCTCGATCAGCTCGACCCACAAACTCAACGGGGCCTTCTCGGGGCAGCTTGATCAAATCGAGCCCCCCAGCCGCATCGCCCCCCGCATCCTCGGAAGCGACGCCGCGCCGCCCCGGCGCGGCAGTCTGCCCGAGTTAGCAGATGCCGCGGCGCCCCCAACACGGAAACACACGATGGTGCGGGCAATTCGATGGTAGCCTCTTCTCACGCATCCGACAAGCCAGAAGCCTCGGCAACGTCACGCGCATGGCGCAAAATCACTATCACGCCCACGGGGCCTGGAAAATCCCGAGGCCCATCCACGAGGCATGGAACCTGGTCATCATACTCGCAAGACGCGATAATCACATCCGCGCGCAGCTCTCGACTTGCGCACTTCTGAATCGACCATCGCGGGCCCACCCACCCACCCCCCACGCGACGCATGGCCCAACCAGGTATGTCTTGGCACCTGGGACTACGCAAGCCCACTGGCTAGAGGTATAAGCCCCCGCCAGCTGCCGCCACGCTCGCTCGACACAGCGCTTCCTTCTATCGCGACCGTGAGGTGCGGCTTGTTCCCCTCGACGATCAGTCGGGGCTCGTTTTCCGCTCGGCAGCTCAAGATTTCTGGCTTTCCTACTCTCCCGCGCGAAACTGCACCCAAGTGCATGACCCTTACCCGACCGAGAGTGCGGTCGGGGCGTCAGACATGACAATTGGCTCAATTCTTCCGACTAGAAATTTCCAACAAGCGACGCCCGCAGTCGAGGGCGCGACTCCGCCCCCCGGCTGCGTCGAGGATAATCGGACCCTCCAGGAGGACGATTCATTCTGCAGCACTTGCCCGCGCCGCGAACCTCGCGGCGATAACGCTGCTATCCACGGCCCGTGACAACAGCGAAACTCATCGACGCGAGCCCCGCCGAGCCTATCGCCCCTGGGGCTGCGTCGCCCTCGCCCCGCTGAGCCCTGAGGCAACGCGCCTCGCGCTCAAGCTCAAGAGCTTTGATCGAGGCAGTTTGGCCAGCGATTCGATTTTTTTCCAGAGCCGCCGCCCCTGCCTTTCAAGAGAAAGATAAACCAACTACCCTCGTCAATGGTTTCTAGAGTCACTGTTGGACCTTTCCGGGACACCCGGAATCTCTGCGACCAGCGCCTGGAAGAACGATCAGAGAGTCGCCCGAAACTCAGTCGGCCCGACTGCCTCCGACTTCCACCCCCGCCCGGGGCGGCAATGGGCCGCCCGGGGGCCTGGCCGGCAACGTCCCCCACTATCTCTCTAGGGGAAAAGATTTCGACGAGTCCACTTTGCCATCGACCGATCTTCCTGGGCCCCCCTCTGGCAAGTAGCGCATCGACATCGCCGGCAAAAGTGGAACTCGCGCCCGTCGCGCCAACGCAGGGCGCAACGTTGGCCGCGGGGGTGGCCAAGACAGCGCCCACAAAGAAGGGGCTCTCTTCCTCGTGCCCCACTGGCGCAGGCCTCCAGACTAACCGGCATATTCGACCGATCCCCGACCTCACTGCGCGCCTTCCCCGATCGGCGCAGCCACCGAAGGAGGGCCCGCAGAAGGCGCGCGCCACCGCCATCGGCGGCCACGGGCGGAGGCGCGACAGAAACAATTTTCACCGCAGGGGCAAACCTTGCCCGCAACGACGCGCCAACACCTCTTCTTGCGCGCCCTCCTCTCCCTGCGGCCCTTTCCCCCCCGCGGGGGGGCCACGCTCGGCGCGCGCGCCGCTCTCGCCGACTTTCCCATCTGCCGCCTTTCCCCGGGCCTCAGAACGCTCGCGCGGTAGGCCCTTGCCCAGGGCAAGTGACTCTTTCCGCCCGTCTGGCCAACTCCTCAGGGTCCGACAATTTGCGGCGGCCCTCTCCACTGCGCTTTACTGCGTCGCACTTTCTTGCGCTGCAAGCCCAGCAGGGGGCGGGCTTCTCGCCCCCCCACCCACGCCCACCCACGCGCACCGCGACGCGCCCCTCGACGCCCCGCCATCGCTTGGAGCGGGCGCGGCCGCGCGAGCAGGACCCCTAGAGCCGTCGGACCAATTGCCCCCCATGCACCCGCCCCCTCCGGGCCAGGGCCCGCCTCGTCGCCACGAGGCCCGCCGCGCTTGAATGGCGCCCCCCTCGGCCCCCGCAGTTCCCTGCGGCGATATCTCGACAAGCGAATTGCTGCTCGAGTGCCCCGCCCCACATGGCGCTGGAACGGCCAACGCCTCGAGGGCGCCGCGAGAGTCGGAATGCATGATCCCCCGATTGTCTCGCCAGCGTCGCCGTTCCATCGCGCGCCCCATCTCAATGTTTGATACAGTCGCACTATTGTTTCGTCGCCTCGCCCCCGAAGCTCGCATTCGCGAGAATTACCCGATGTCCCGTTGAAGGACATCTCCTGAGCTGATCAAAGTAGCGCGTTCGTAGTGCTGGCCACAGAGCATCTATGCGCCCTGGCACGCGGCCTATCATGTTCTCCCAAATGCAAAGGAAACAAATCAGCTACGCGCCAGCCATGCCCTTTGATCCCGAGGTCTCCCACGCGAGAAGGCCGTGGAACAAGCGAGCAATCTTGCGGCTGGAGCACGCGGAAACGCGCTGGGCGATAATTCGCGCGATTTTCACCCACGAAGAAAACGCCTCAGATCACGGCAACAGATCACTTCAATAATCAAGTCTGCTCATCGCAGACAAGACCTGCCTCGTCAGCTCGCACGTCGATCTTGCATTCCTCGAAAGCGGATTCCTTGACAAAAATCAAATCAGACGCTATCGCAAAATCCGATGCTGAGAATTTGCAAGGCCACTAGAACACCCATGGGACCATTGACATCTGGCGCCCGCTGGAAACATCTCAGCGCCCCATCTGTCTCAGACGCAGCAGCAACCACGAATCGGCGCGCCGCCCTGGGCCATTCAGCCAGCGAGGCGGCCTTGGATTTGAAGGGCGACGTTGGCCCCCTCGCCACATCCCACGACCTCCTCCCCCATCTCCAACGAGAGGGGCCGATCCACAGTCACCGCCATCGACAGCGTCTCCACCGGGATGACCAGGTCCACCCGAGGGCTCCCGCTGCTTCCAGGGGGGCCGCCAGGCACCCTCCCCCAGCCCCGGACTCTTCCCGCGCCGCGACCACCCCGAACTGATAGGACCGACCGCTGGATCGAATAGGCCGGGATCAGGGCAATCATTGCCTGCCCCCCCATCGCCGTCATCTGGGGAGGGTTCCCCTTCCGGCCCGCCACCCCCCCACCGCGGGCCTCGAGGTTCTGGCGCGCTTCGCAGGGGCCGCGCCTCTCCCCCCCGGACGGTTCGCACGCGTCGCGCCCCTGCTCTTCGAACGGAATAGCCGCAGGCAGTTCAGAGACGAACGCTTCGGACTCAGCCGCGTCGGCCCTCGAAGCAAGGGCGCCCCCCCTTCTTCCAGGGAACGAAGAACGAATGCATCGGCCCTCGGCCTTTCCGCGGCCAGCCTCGAGGCTCGCCCTCGCCCCTCGGCCTCGGCTCTGTTCTCCTTGCATTCGGCTAGCCTCTGCGACCCCCCTCTATCCCTGACCGCCACGGACTCGGCCCCGCGGGCGCCTCCTCCAAAAATGGATCCCGCCAATTGAATTCGCCCCGCATTGCATGGCACTTCATCTCGAGGGCTTCCACGCGGCCCCAGATCAGACCCACGATCTCCCCCTTTCGGCTGCCACGCGCGCCTCTCGCTCGGACCCGCGGCGCCGCCCCCCCCCCCCCTGCTCGTTCCCGCGGCGCCCCCCTTCGGCTTCCTCGACGCCACGCGACGCCGCGTTCTCTTCAGCAACCTTCTCGCTGACGCAGATTGGACATCTTGCAGCCGCGCGGTCGAAATAGACAATGCAGCACGGCCAGTCGCGCGGGTCACAATCTGCGCGCCGGGGCCGCGGGAGCAAATCCAGAGGACAGCGCCGCCATCGGCTGCCGCCGTTGCCCCTCCGCCCCCCGAGGAGCCGGCGCGTGCTGCGCCGCGGTCGACGTTGCCGCTGACTGACGAGAATATCCAGAGCCCTCTGCCAGTGGAGGCTTATCTCAACCCGCGCTCCATCGGCTCTATCCTTCTCTTGTTCGCCCACTTCGATGGCAATCTTTCGTAGACACCAGCAATGGCGACTTCGACTTGGTCATCTATCCCCTCAGCGACTTGAAATTTTTCAACATACGGATTGGGGTAATCGACCCTGGCCGGGCCCCCGTCTGGAAAGTCGGCGCTGCACGCTGCGATGCGCACCTCTGGGGGGTGCGCCCACACATCGCCTGGATGCTCTGTCGCGCGATCACCCCTTCTTCCTGAGAAAGACTTCGTCGTAGTCCTTTTTTGCTCGACTGTCCTGGCACTGATCGGGAGATTGAAGACCCTCGTGGTCCGTGATCACGCCATCGCGGGGACAATCGTTCACTGGTCGGATTCAGGCATAAACCACATCTATAATTATATATATATATATATATATACACCTCAGGGATAGATATCCGACGGCGTTCGCCGACATTTGCTTCCAGGGCGATTGGATTTGCAATGTCATGCCAACTTTCGCCGTGTTTTGCGCTTTCGCTGCCAGCCGCCGCGCAGCTTCGATGAAAGCCGTGATCTGGCTTTACGTCTCAAACCTCATCCTGCTTCCTCTCAATTCTATCCGAAAGTTCGGATGAAAACCTGTTTCGGTCAGATGTGATACACCATGTGCATAACAGCCGAAATGTACTCCCCATTATCTCTCAACTTCGGGGGTCTCTTCGAAAGGATCTTGTACATGGTATTCCCTTTCGTGTTTATCGACGACATTACGGCGGCGCGCACGAGGCAAACGCCTCCTTTTTGTCCGACTGTTGGGGCGCAGCGCGCGCTCCGTAGTCGCTCACGCCTACAGGAAAAGGTAAAAACATCTTGAGCCAAACGCAACAGGAGTGTACGCTACAGGAAAGGCAAAAACATCTTGAGCCAACGCAACATCACCGCATCGGCGTGCGGATGGGTGATAACATGGCGCAACAGGAGTGTACGCTACCGACTGAACAGGAGCAGGGAAGGACACAGGGCGGTCGATTTGTTCTGGCTGCCCGCTCTCGCCGCTCAGTTGGCCCGTTCCGAATCAACTCCAAGTGGGCTCGGCCGGGCCCTGGTCGAAGGCGCACTGCCGTGCGGGCGCCGCCAGCGCTCCTGGCGCCTGCCGGCCCTGCCAGCCCACGCACCTCTCGCAGCCCTTTCTCCCTCTGGGGTAGGGCGGCGGGAACTACAGTCAACCCGTATAATGCGGACGCACGATGAAGATGCGAGGGCCTTGGAAGGCCATGTCGACACTTTGCGAGCGGAGCGCGGCCAGCGAAAGCGGTCAAGGATGGGCCGAGGGGGAAGGATGCAAGGGTAAAGTGGGATCCTTGCTCACCCTTGCTGTGCGGGTTGACTGCGCACACATCCACTGCCCCTGGCAAGGCCCATCCTGGGTCCCAGGGCCCAGGATGAGCCTGGCGAGGGGGCACTGGATCTGCACAGTTCTCGTTGCCCCATGGGGTGCAGCGGGCAGCCCGGCCGCCCGGGCCCCCCCTCGGGCGCGGCAGGCCCCTCCGCCGCCTCCGCGGAGGCCGGCGGGCCCGGCCCGAGGCGGCGCGGAGCGGGCTCTGGCGGGGGGAGAGCGGGCTGGTGCTGGAACTGCACCGTCGCGGGGTTCGCCTCCAGGAGCGGGTCCCAGGCCCGGGTCACCTCCCAGCCGTCCAGGAGGGACTCCTGCGCGCACCCCACCAGCCAGAGCTTCTGCAGGCGCACGCTCCTCTCGTGCTGCACCCACTGGTCGGTGTGGGGGGCCGCCACGCGGTCGGCCCGGTCCACCTGCACCTGCCACAGGGCGGCCCAGAAGATGCCGTCGCGACACAGGGGCACGAAACGAAAGTCCGCCACTGCGCCCCCTGGCATGTCGAGGCGTGGTAGAATGCCAAGTGCTGTCTGGTAGAGTTACTGTAGTATTCTAAGGCCTCCCCTACTCGTCGCAGGCAGGCACCCCCCGAGGCCACGATCCAACACAAAAATTATGGATCCGTGCTCCCTAGGCCACGATCGCTTGAAAAAAACAATGGATACGCGCCCCCGAGCTTCCAAGGCAACCAAGGCCGCTCACATGTTCCAAGATGCCTCGAAGACATCTCAAGATGAGGCACGCCTAGACGGGCTCAAGACGGCCCAAATGAATCATGCCTCCAAGAGGGCCCCAGAAGGCCACCAGAGGACCCACAACAGAATGCGAAAAAAACACAATCATCGATCTTCGTGACATGGTTGAAAGATGTTATGTTATCATTTTGTTCGGGTGTCCGTCAGCTCAAGACGACCCAAGAAGCCTCAAGGATGGCGCCAAGACGGCCCAGGAGGCTCCCAAGAGGATCCCAAAATGGCCACAAAAGACCCCATGATGGCCCAAGACGCATGCAAGACTGCCACAAGACGGCCCAGATTTACCGAAGATGGCTCCAAAAGGCCCTTCGACGGCCAGAGACGGCGCCAAGACGGCCTCACGACGGCCCCCAGGCACCCCCCATACAGCCATGAGGGCTCCAAGACGGTCCACGAGAACTCCAAGACGGCCTAACAAGGTCCCAAGACGACCCAAGGGGGTCCCAATACGGCCCACGACGGTCTCAAGGGACCCCCAAGACTGACCCACAGGAAGCCCCGACAGCTCCAAGACGGCCCAGATGAACTCCATGAGAGCTCCTCAAGGAATGCAGAAGAGAGAAATCACATGTGACGGCCTTCCTCCCTCCCTCCTCCTCCTCCTCCTCCTCCTCCTCCTCCTCCTCCTCCTCCTCCTCCTCCTCCTCCTCCTCCTCCCCCCCATCCTCCTCATCCTTATCCTCATCCTCATCCTCATCATCCACGTCATCCTCACCACGACTCTCCCAAGCCTGAGGGCACGAGGTGTCACAAGTGACGGCCTCCTGCGCCTCCTCGAATAGTCGCCACCCCGAATGCTGGCCTGGCACGGTGGCGGGCATTGTCGCAGGCAGCTGGATAGTTGGCCGTCTTCTTGCACTTCGAGTCCTCGTTCCTGTGCACGTAGACTCCAGGAGCGCTCCCGAAAAATCTGTCGCCTTGTTCGGCGTTCCGGGATGCTCTCAGTCGCCCGTGGTACATGATGGAATATAACGCCTCGAATTTGCACCCATGCCACGCAGTCTGCCAATCGGCGCGGCCCTGGCAAGCGAACTCGCCTGGGGACTGCCTCGGCAAAGAGCTCTCTCCGCCTGCCTCCTCGAAAGGCAGCCAATCTAGCGAAAACCAGCCCCGACCGTCCGTGATTACGGTGTCGGACAGCCTATCCCCAACAGGGGTGCCGTCCACACATTTTCGTATCTGAAAAAACTGCAGGACTCGCCCAAAACTCTCGTGCAGCAGCGTGTAATTGGGGGCACTGGTCACCCGCATTTCGAAGCCCAGCTGCTTTCGGGTGCGCTTGCCCATGATCAGCTGCGGCTGCGAGTTCCACTGGAGCGGTGTCCCGCTGGCGTTCTCGTCGAAAGGGGGGGCCTGGACAGGCCGCTGGGCGCCACCATCGTTGCCATCTCCTGCAGCCTTGATCTCCTCCTCGGCTTCCCACGGGAGCGTGAGCACGCGGGCACCCGCGGGCCTCTTCCTGGGAGGCCCCGGCGTCTCCGCCGCTTCCTCCCTCTCGCGTCCCACCGCAAGTCTCCTGCTGGCGGCGCGATCCGCCGCGTCCAGAAAATCCGCCGACCCTAGGGAGGGCAAGGCGTGTGAGACGTCGGCGTGGTCCTACCTGGAGGTCCAGAGTCTCATTTCAAGGAGCAGACCAGGGAGAGTGGGGGGGGCGCTCGCCAAAGCACCTCCCAGACCCCAAAAGATCTTCGCAACTTCTATGATCCTCTACGCTCATCCTCCTGGTGCTCATCCCTCCGATCCCCCCTCCCTTCTCCTTATCCTCCTTATCCTTCTCCTCCTCCTCCTCCTCCTCCTCCTCCTTCTCCCCCTCCTCCTTCTCTACCATGTCGCCTTCCACGTAGCACCCGAACAGTCCAAGGTTCTGGGGGTCGGCGGCGGAGGCATGGCGCACGCCTCCAGGATCCGCTAGCCTGCTGGGCTGAGGGGTGTGCGGAATTCGCCGACCCCTTGGAGTGTCCGCGTCATGTGAGATTGCTGCGCCTCCCCAAACCCACATCCTTCCCCGAGAGCCTCGTCCGCGTCGGGCGGTCCGGACGGGAGGGGCCAAGGCTCATGCAAGGGCTCCTTTGGCCTGAAGAATGACCCAACAGGCCTCACTGCGATTCGAAGAGGCCCCACTGAACTTCACGAGGCGCGCAAGAAGCATCCAGCCAGACTTCCGGACGCTTCGAGAAAGGCCCCAGACAGCCAGAACCATTAATGCGCATTTCGCTTTTCAACGATTGTGGGGTACCCCCGACACGGCCCACGACGGCCCAAAAGGCCCCCAGGACGGCCACAAGGGACCGCAAGACGGCCTCAAAAGAGACCCCAAAGGGGGAAATCAAATTGGTTCCGAGAACCTTTCCGCCAAGATAGCCCCAAACAGCCCACGCTGACCGCCAAGACGCCCCCAAGAGGCTCCCAAGAAAACTCAAGAAGCCCCCAAGAAGTCGAGTCGAGTCGAGTCTGCCATCAGCGCTGGGCGACCCTGCAAGGGCGGCAGGCGCGCCAAACGCGCTGGGAAGACCTGCGAGAGAGATGCAGGCAGGCCCACAGAAAACCTGCGAGAGACATCCCAAATGATGCCAAGAGGCATCCGAGAAACTGCTGACCCACAACCCGAGCACGAGGGCGGAGCTCAAACGGTGGCGGCAAGTCTGACCTTCGGGAGACCAGACATCACGGGGAAAACGAAGCAAAGCAAGACGCCTGGGGAAATCCCACCAGCCCTCTGGGCTTTTTAACGAGTCGTTCCCAGCTCCCTGCCACAACCTATCCCTCCCTTGCTCGGGGGAGGCGTTATCACTCCTCCATGTTTAGAAACACCGCCACGCGACCACTAGGCGGGCGCCCCGCGGCCAGTCTGCACTGGTTTTTGACACGGACGGCGGGGTGCCGGCATGTTGCTTGACGCGCGCATGCCAGCCATCCCTGTCAGAACCAAGAAGAACGAGTGCACATCGCCTCCAACTCCGGAGCCCGCGCGGGCGCCCCGTCCACCACGTCAGCTGTTTTTGCACGCGCTGCGCGAAAACTGTGCGCAGACCAACCGTCCCTCAAAAACAGCACGGAAAGCACTTTGCCTCCAGACGTGTTCTCCGCCACAGAGCAAGGCAGCAGGGATAATCCGCTACCGCTCAAGGAAGCTACCCCGCGCCACGGACAAGGGAAACGAAACACAAGGCAAATGCAAACATATCGCCGAAACAGCGCAGCAGGCCTGCTCAACAAGCTGTCCTGCGAGCGCGGCCGAAACGCAGGCGATCGAAATCGACCGCGGGGCGAACAGACCAAAAACCTGCAATAACCTTGGACCCAGAAAGAGAGGGATAGGAGGAAGGGGAGGAAGAAGAGAAGAAGCAAGGAAAGGCAGGTGATTGTTAAACCAGCTGGTGACAGCAACCCCCCCAGGCCCTATCACGCTGGAAAGCGGCACAGAGCAGTCGTGCGCTCCCCAGCGGAGTGTCCGAGCAGCTCCTCGGATGCCTCCGGCGCCTCAGCGACTACAGCCAAGAGCACCTGCATCGCCGAACTGTTTTATCACAGTCACCCCACCCCGACTGGTCAGCTACAGCCACCAACAAGAGCAGACCAGCGAAGCGGAAGGTTCAAAGTGGGGGGCGCGCGCACGCGCGCTCTCCAACTGCATCTCGCTACGAGCAGTCAAGGCGGGCGCAGCGGTGCCCGGCCGGACGCGCGGCCACACCGCAGCGGTTGGACGGCGAAAACCAGGCCCATGAGACAACCCGAAATCGGCCCGCAACGGCCGCAGGATTGCACGCGCGCCTTGCCCGCGCAAGCCGTGGCAGAGAAGCCGCGGACCCGGAGCAGGAAGGAGAAGGGAGGAGGACACGCGGACGGGCACGCCACGGCGCAGCCGAGAAAACGAAAACACCGTGCGCCAGGGCCGGGGGACAGCAGAAGGACGGCCAGAAATGGCAATCGAGCCGCAGCCCCTGACCCTGACCGAGGGGGAAACGGGCCTGCGATCGTCGCTCCCGGCCACCTTCGCGCTGCCAGGCCGGCGGGCGCGAACCAGGCCCAGAGGCTCGAAGACGGCCAAGAGGCCGCGCCGCCGCTGCCGCGCTCACGCGGCAAGGCGAGCGAAGCAAGCCACCTGCTCAAAGGCCCGTCGGCCCCGAGCACGTCTCGACGCAGGGCTCGTTGGCAGCGCCGGCGGCTCTGGCGGAGGAATGGGCCGAACAATGAACGAGGAGGAGGAGGAAGAGGAGAACGGGGAGGAGGAGGAGGAGGAGGAAGAGGGCGAAGAGGCGGTGGAGGAAAAGGAGGAGGAGGAGGAGGAGGAGGAGGAGGAGGAGCGAGGAGCAGCGAGGGGGAATGGGAACAAAAAGCGGCGAGCAGGCGCCGACACGCAGGAGGAGAAAAGGGAGAAGCACAGGCAGCAGCAGGCAAGCGCGCACGTTGGGGGCGGGCGGGGGGCGGGAGGGGGCAAAGGGAGCCCGCGGCAGTCGGAAGGCCGTCGTGGGTCCGGGAGTCGTCGGCGTCGTCGTGGGCCGTGGGTGGGCGGGGTCGTCGGGGTGGTCAGGGGGTCTGAGGGCCGTCGCAGCCGGGCTCGCCGGGCATCAGGCGGGGCGGGCGGGGCCATCACCGGGGGCGGGGGCGAGGGCGGGGGGCGGGGGATGACGGCGGCAGGAAGACGGCTGCCCACGCGGCGTCTGCCGCGCTCGCCGCCGTCGCCGCGGCGAGCCAGGCTGCGGGCGCCCTGTCTGGGGCCTGCAGCCGGCGGAACACGGCCCGCGCATTCTCCTGGCGCAGGAGTAGCGAGAGTCGCCGGGCGCGCTCCGCCGCCGCGAGGGCGGGGCACTCACCTGCGGCGTCAGCCACGCGCGTCGCCAGGACGGCGAGCGCGCGGCGCGCCTCCCTGCCCCAGGCGCCGCCGCGCGCCTCCATCACCGCGGGGGCGCAGGTGGCGCCGGACACGCTGCGCGCCGCGTCAAGGAACTGGCGCTTCTGCTTCTCGTAGCGCTCGGCGGCGGCGCCCGTCGCGGCTGCCGAGGCTGCAAGGAGGTCGCCCCGCAGCCAGGAGGCGGCCGCGAAGTCAAGGGCAGCCGGGGCGCCGTTGCGCCAGCGGGGGCGCGCGCGTCCGCCGGGCGCGCGTCCGCCGGGCGCCGTTGGCCTCCGCCCCTGGCGGGCCCTCCCCTCGCTCGCGGTGCCGCGGCAAGCCCCGCCGCTCGAGCTAGGCGCCGGGGGGGCCAGCTCCTGCGCGGCGGAGAAAACCTCGTCGCGGAGTGCGTCGCGCCGCTTCACTGCGGCCCCCGCGGCAGGGGCACGCCAGGGCGCGGCCCCCGTAGACATCGCGGACGCCGTCGCAGGCCGGGCAGAAGGCCTCCTCGCTCGTTCACAGCACCTGCAAGCGCCTCTGCAGGGCGATCTGCAAGGCGGCGCCTGCAGCCAGCCGCAGGCGCCCTCCGCGCGCTCACCAGCGAGAAGTGGGCCCTGGTGGTGAAGCTGGCGCGCCCCTCGGGTTCGGCGTCGAACTCAATCCTGTCCGCCTGCGAGGGCCGAGCGTCGGAGGAGATCGCGGCCGCGCCCAGAGCGCCGTCGGCACCTGCGTCGTCGTCGTCGGAGCAGCCAGCCCAGAGCTGCCACCAAAGCGCAGAGCAGGCCGCGCGGGAAACCAGGCAGGCGGCGGGCGCGCGCCGCTCCGCTGAGCGCAGCCCGAGGCCGCCTGCCTCGAGGGCGAGCTGCGCCTGCGCCCAGGAGTCGTCCGCGGGGGCGCCGCTACTCAGTTACTCCCAGGGGGTGTCGGAACCCATGGGGCTCCTGTAGTAGGAGGGGAACACATTTCTCCATGTGACGCTCGAGTTCCAGCAGCTCGCGCCTGCGCTCGCCCGCCAGGTGGCAGCATGGCCCTCGAGCACTCCATGGCCCAAGGTAGGCGCCCGGCGCATTCGGGGGCGCACCCCACGGAGTCCAGCGCTGGCTACATAGACCACAACGATGTGTCGGTGGCACGAAAGAGACGCTGGTTTTCTGCGGCGACTGCGGCTGAGTCCACTCGCAGACGTTGACGATCTGCCCATCCTACCGCACTTGTGCGCCGTCAGCTGCACTGGTGCCAATCTCGGGAGCCACGAGCGGGATCGAATATATGGAGATACTGCCCTCGTTGCCGACCTTGCGAAAGTGGTGCGCAGGTGGCGTTCTGAAAGTAGCATGACCAATCATTGTGCTTGCACTTTTCCTCGCAACTGCTTTGATGACTTGTCTGCATTGATGTTGAGAGGCGTGTTCGCTCCTGAGATATTGGGCGCTGTAAATGCTCGCCATTGGCCGCCGCTGCGTAAGTTGCGGGCGAGCGGGATACTCCTGGAAGAAGCTGCAGGCCCACCGAGCACGCGCAGAAAGAACCTCCTGGCGGGCACGTCGCCGATGAACCCGGCGTCGCTAATAGAGACACCTGCTGCTGATAGCCATGGTTCAAGTGAGCGACGGAACTCAGCAGGATGGACTGCAGATGGCGCCCGAATGCTGTAGAGATGAGGGTCGGGCGGCCTGTCCCGCGGCAGGAGCGTGGCCTCGGCCGTGGCGAGGGACGGCTGGATGCACCCGATGTCCGCCCTGAGCTGCTGCTGCTGCTCCTGCTCGACGATCTGCGCGCGGCAGCAGAGATCACGCATGCAGGTGGCGATGCCGCCAATGCGTTGGTTTTGCTGCTGCACCTGGGAAATGACAAGTTTGAACTCGCTCTGCAAAGCGGAGGTGGTTGACTGCATAATGGCGGCAGTTTCTTGCTCAAGGCGTTGTGTAGCAAGTTGCATACGGCCCGAGAAGACGGCGGACAGGCGATCCTCGATGGGAATGGGTCCCAGGGCAGCGGCACCAGCACCAGCTGGTGTAATAGCCCCTCCGGGAGACCCAGTCGTGTCCATGGGGGTCGCGGTGCCCCAGGGATCTTGACGTTGAAAGAGATCATCAACATGTTGTTGCACTTCACTATCCAGAAACGTGAAGAAAAGCTCGATGTCACGTAGCAATCGTTCTTCATCTTCACGTTGGCGTTGTCGCTGTCGTTCTCACTGCTGCGTCGCAGGGCCCCTTGAGGGTCCAGCTCGTCTGTCCGCACGCGTAGTTTGTCAATCGTCACGACGCCGCGGAGCTCGCTGTTCACGAGCAGGTCGACGCTCAGGCTCACGGCTGGCCACTGGTGTTGGGGATGTCCGACGCTGTTGCTCTCGAGTGCCACGATCACTGCGAGAACCGCTGGCGTCGCCTTCGCGTTTGCGCTGGCGCCGACGTTCGGGGACTCTCGTAGGCGTGGAGGATGACCCAGAGCCGCTGCTTGACGCCAACGCGTAGTAAAACGTCGTGGCAATAGTGGCGGGTGTGCAGGAATGACCGTGGGCAACCTTATCGCGGAACCTCCTCGGAGCACGCAGCAGATGAGGACGATAAATGGAAGAGAATATGGAAGGTTGGGCGGCAGCTCGCCCCTTGTTGTGGCTGCGAATACATGAACGCGATAGTTATGGCTGGGATGGGAGCCTACCCCGCCAAGGCAGCTAGAATCACCATAATTGTTCCTTGAGCCAGAATGGCTTGAGCCAAAATGGCTGCGGATGGTGGTGATGATGATGAAGAGGATGATGGTGAGTGCGGAGGACAGAGGAGGAGGAGGAGGAGGAGGAGGAGGAGGAGGAGGAAGGAAGAGGAGGGGCGCGGGGCGATGTCTCTTCAAAACGAAGACCCAACACCATAGCATGGTCGGGAAAAAAACCAAGAGTGGAGTGAAAACGAGTTGGAGAAGAAGGGCGGAGAGCCTGGGCAAGTCGGCTTACATAAATGACGAACAGGGCGTCCACAATCACAGGAGCAGCCCACAAAACTCAGGGGTCCACAGACGTGGCACAATTCTAAAAATTGTACCGTAAGAGTATTGGTCCTTTTGATCTTCAACAGGCTCCGAACGTTCCATCAAACGCTGCTCTCTGTATTCTGCCGAGGAATGCTCTAAGACAGAACCGACTACGAAATACATGTCGTTAGGGGTCGACGATCGCTCCAAGTTGCCTCTCTTGCGCCATGACTTGACCTCCAAGATCGGCTTCGGCATTCACGAATGTATCTTCTGCCCAATTTCACCGGCAAGTCTGCGAAACGCAAAACGTGTAAACACACATTTGTGACAGTGACGATTTCCCCTTGGCTGGGTGTCGCCTGGTTGCCTCTTATGGCTGCTTTCCAGGCTGGACTGCAACATCTCCCTGCTTACAAGTTTCTACGATGTCTCGGCAAGATATCTCAAAGTTCCTGAGCTGATTCGGGCACGAGCTTGCGAATTAGCACGAGCTTGCGAATTAGGGATTGATCCCTGGAGGCTAGACTCAAAACGGTCCCGATCCAGGCCCGGATAGGAAGGGCGCGGGCGGCGGTCGGGTCCGAAACGATTGCTCGAGTATGTGACGTCTTGGATCCGCCGTCGGCCGCCTCGGGCCCATCTTGGCCCATTCTTGGTCCACATGTGGGCCCTCCTAGGCCGTCTTGGCGCGCAACTTTGCGCAGCCTTGAGGCCCATCTTCGACATAATCATACATCGGCATGTCTTCGGCCCGCCTGGGGCCGTCTTCGGCACTTCCAGCGAGAACTCGAGATCGTGGGCGGTGAACGCGAGGCGTCTTAGATAACTCTTCGTGTACTTCGCAGAATAACGCAGCGAGCCATCTTCGGCCTCCATGTGCTCTGCTGTTGTCTGCGCCTCCTCGGAAGCAGCGGAAACGCCCTCTGCCTGCGATGCGATCCCCGCCCGCCGCGGCACCGCCTCCGGAACCCCAAGGGGCGCGACCTGCCCCCTCGCCACCGCCGCCTTCCTCCGAGCCCTCTCGCGGTAGGCCGCGGCGAAGCCCAGGTAGCCGCCGGCCCGCTCGCCCGACACCGGAGCTGGAAGGTGCGGCGCGGCGGGACACGGCGCACGCGCCACGCTGCCGCGCATGCGCGGGGGCGGCCGCCTGCCGTAGGCCCTGGGCGCCGGAGACGGCTCTGCGAGGCCCTCGGCGGGGGCCCGCGCCGGAGCCGCCTCCGATGCCGTGCCAGCGCAGGCCGCCGCCCCCGCCGCCCCGCGCGCGGGCGCGTCCTCGCCCGCCGGCGGCCCGCAGGCGCCGGCGCCGCCCCCCGCCAGCTCGGACAGCTCGCGCATGAACGCGTCCTCGTCCGCCCGCGCGCCGCCGGCGCCGGCCTCGCCCTCCGCCGCCGCGGCCCCCGCCGGGCACGCGCGGCTCTGCAGCCCGGCCTCCTCCGCCGCCACCGCCCGCAGCAGCCTCTCCTTGGCCAGCCGCAGCTCCGGCGCCGCGCCGCCGGCGCCTACCCCCGCCGAGGCTGGGCCGCCGCCCCCCACGAGCGCGGACAGCTCCCGCATGCACGCGTCCACGTCCTCGCTTGCCGCCGCGCCCGGGCTCGCCATGCCGGCGCCGAGGGGAGCCGCGCGGGCATCGCGGCGCCAGGGGGGCGCCGCGGCCGGCCAGCGGGCGGGGGGCGGGGGCGCGGCGCGGCACAGAGGGCCCGAAGTCCCGGAGCCCGCCCGAGCCAAAAAACGGCTATGTACGGAAGGGGAGGGGGCCGGGGAGGGACGCTGACCTCCTCGCGTTCTGAGGAATTCTGGACAACGTCGTCGCTGGCATCGACCACGCCGTTCGCTGGTGGTGCTCCTCTGCTACCGTCGACTCGTGCCAGGCGAGCTCCCTGTGCTGCACAACGTTGTTCGAGTAGATGGCGACATCTACCCGAGAGGCATTGCAATCCCACTGGTCCTTTGGGCCTTGGCGGCTTCAAGAGTTTACTCAGCCCTCGTCCCCGGCTCCCTCCCGTCCCCGGGTCTGGACGGGGGGCGGGGGGGGCGAGGTGCGGGGGGCCCTCTTTTTGGTCCCAGATGGCATAGGCCAAGATGTCCCAGAATGCCCCTCGAGTGCCTCCACGATACCAAAAGACCACCGAAGACAACTCCAGGTAGCCAAGGAGCCTTCCCACCACAGAGGCCAAGAGATGTCGAATCCGCCGACCCCCGCTTGCCGGGGGTGGCAAAGCGTATGAGACAGCTTGCTGTATTACTCTCGGAAGCGTGCG